TTATCAATTCATTTGTTTACAATATTTTTTTAATTAAATACATGCCTCACATATCATAGATGATTTTATATAAAATTAAATACTGCTGTATTTACTTTATTGCTATATTATTAAATATTTGTTCACATTTCATTCCCAAATTCGTCAACCGTTTTGTTAATTTTATTTTGTATTTGTAATAAAACATGAAATTTCATATTCTGACGTTTCAGAGTTTAGCTGAATCAAAAATTCAGGCAAATACATATAATATAAATATTTTCATATTTAATTAAGTGCATATATCAACTGTGTAGTAGTTTTAGTACTTATTACCTTTAATTTTCTTTCAAACATACGTACGATAAACGAAAGTCTAAAATAAATATTATTTTAAAGATCATGAAAATCAAAAATAGTAAAAACAGTTCCACGTAACATTATGTAGTGTGAAAGTAATTTTGAACGAATTGTTTTATATATATTTCGCGACACAAATGAAGCGATTCAATTAAAGTGCCGAATTTGTAGCATTTTTCACTCATCGCGCTGTTAACAGAGTGAAATAAAAAAATTGAAATGAATACTTGGATGTTGTATTTGGTTGATAGCCGAACATGTAGCGGGTAAATACGCGTAAAAATCGTTCGCAAATTCCTCCCAACAAAAAACTACGACTATGTGGTTCTCAATATTTGGTGAAACCGCTACCATTGACCAAATAGCTATCAGTTTATGTGTTCGTATCGACCTATATGTTCTTAGATAAAACCAAACTAAACTTCCTAACTAGTATCGTAAAATACTGTGAATTTAAACGAGTTTTATATCTAGATTTATAAGCGATGCCTAATCGAAAAGCAATAGTAGAGGTGGTCCATTTTTGTCTACAGTCGGATGTAAAATCAATACAATGACTGCAGTTCACAGACATTTGCTTTCGGCTCGTTTTGATTTAAATGTTTATTTTTTAATACAACACAAAGAAACATTCCCATATCATATATGTTTTTTTTTCTCGTCCGCTATTTACACGTCTCGTAATAATAAGCGGTGTGGAAGTTGAAACGAGCAAGTGGTTCGTGTATTTGGTTTTAATTGAAATTCCATGCGTTAGTTTCTTTGTTTTGATATATATTTGGACCGTTTGTTTAAAATGTTCACAGAAAGTGAAAGTCTATGTTGAAAAACAACATATGTAGGACCATTTACATGAAAAATTAATCTACGGTTTAATTTTGATTAATTGATATCCAGATATTTTAACTTCTACTCAGCGTGTATGAGTTATTTATTTTATAAAATACTTGTTAATTTTCGATATTTTCGGCTTCCAAACATTTATAACAGCAAGTTAATTAAACGAATACTTTTAAGTTTAAACGACCCCACACAGATATAAGTTTTAAAATTCTATAAAAGATTTCAAGTTTTCAGTTTCCATCAATAACTTAGGTGGCGCTATAAATCCGAATATTACACCTTTATTCGGGAATGGGCTATAAATTTTTATTTTAAACTGATCACGAACATTATCCCGGTTTAATATTAGTGATGTATGGTTACATACATTATTATATATTATTATATGAAATATGAATGACTTTGATAACTGAGAAAGAAGTCAGGAGTCTATGTAGTATGTGTTCATTGTAACGAACCTTAAGTATTTATTTGATACTTTTAATGTGAAGATAATTAGAAAAAACGTATAAATCAAAAAGTAACCGACTTTAAAAAAGGGGAGTGTCGATTTCATTGTGTCCTTTTTCGTATTTGTAGTCTACTTTAGAATTTATCCTATCCGATAATAGGATAACCAGTTAAATCCGATATATTTTTGAGCGTGTTTACAAAAATGATAACAATAATAATTCAATTAATTTGATCGAGGCATCTGTTCATATTTGTATATATTTAAAATCAGTATAATAATAGATATAAAAGATAAAATACCAGCAGTCCACAATATTTACGCCGATGTGTCGCATAAATTTTTCTAAGCTCCTAAAAATTACATATTTCGCACGTCCCCTGTCGGAAGGCGTGTATGTCGCCGGGCCTCGGGCTGAATTAAAATGAGATGAAAATTCTTAGCATGCAAATAAGTTAGGAACTGAAAACATGACAATGGCCCGGTTAGCAAGATTGACTCGTAACAACGCGCCATATAATATGTATGTAATAACTCATAATAAATATTATACTAAAGAAAGGATTAAAAATATAAGGTCAAAAAATTACTATTAATGTAAAACAAGACATCGTGTCGGTCTGAAGAAGCACTTATAAAGTATCTTAAATTATTTACACTATTACACGAACATGGCTTAAACTATTGTAACACTGTAAAAATATTATGCAAAATCACAAAGAAATCATTGTATGAAAATGTATTTTAATTCCAATCATAAATATCACACTAACACAATATTACTGAACTCAATAAGGGCCGGGTACACCAAAAATTATTTAATTGCTCTATATAAACAGTTAATTGCCAATTGAGGTAAATGGTAAATTTTGCGTAATCGCCTGTTTAATTTTACAACTGAATTATATTTTCGTGAACGCTTGCCTAAAGAAGATTTTTATTTATTAAACTGAGCTTAATTATCATATTGTTGCAATGAGGACGTAATAATATTAATTTTATCCGAAATATTATTGTTATATATATTTATTCGAAGTAATTGACATTAATGTATATACAAGTTTTTGCCCGCGACTTCGTGCGCGTTAATTTCGGTATTAGTAATATATGTATAGCTGACCGGGCGAACTCTATTCCGCTCTAGAGGTCGTAAATAACCAGGTATTGATGCTTATGTAGTTTTTTTTTCTGTTTCGATCGAACATAATTAAATATCCTATGTCCGTCTCCTTGTTCTAAGCTATATCCACCAATTTTCAACCATATCCCTTCAGCTGTTCTTAAGTTATAAATAGTGTAACTAACACAACTTTCCTTTGTTTATATATATGTGACATTTATAAGTATTTTTAGTGTAAACCACGTAATCCACAGCACAGCTCGTCGGTCGGAACCGACCGCGTTCTGTATACAGCACGGTTTGTAAAAGGTTAATTTATCATGAATAGATTTCACAGCCAGAAATAACCCTTTATTGCAGCTGTTGATAATTTTAGTGTACAAATAACGTTTTAAAACGCCGATGGGCGTGAAGCCAGACCAAATATTGAAATAAATGAGCCAATTATATTAGTTTGAAGTTAGGGTTTTTTATATACCGTAGGGGGAACTGGATACTAACTATAAAAAAACTCGTCATTAGGTTACTTTGCTATAATAATCCATATACATTTATCTGCAATATAAGTATTGTGCTTATATTGCTGACTATAATGACTGAAAGCTTCTATAGATGTTTAATAAAGATAATAATATATAATTAATGTATATTTTGTATCTTAGACACGTATAAGAGTTATAAAAATGAAAGACATGTACTAAAAAGAATGAATATTGCTGCTTTCTTTTATTAAAACAAAATCATAATTTAAAATAATAATCAGTTTACTGAAGAATTAAATTCAAACGAAGCCACATACATCAGCTTATGTATTTACGAGTAATATTATAAAAAAGATTCAGAATATTTCAACTAAAGGTTTATGTGTGTATGTATGCCTAATCTGTAGGGTGTTCACACGATGCGTAATTAATTACATAACTTTTGGTTAACTTTACTTAGAAGTTTATTAATATTTATATATTAATTTTTATTTTGTCATATATGATCGTCAAATATCACGTCCTCAAGTATCGACAGTAATTCACCAGTCACCCCGTATATACATGTTATCTTGAAGTCGGTTAATAATTTATTATTTTTATAACTTGATCAGAGATTAATAAAATTTTGGTATTTTCTGTTCTTATATAATATTTTAAGTGATATCAATATATTTGACTGTTAAGTTTTGGTTTTTGATTCACAAAACTATGTTGCGGATGTCTATGGGCGACGGTACTATCTTCCATCAAGTAGACCATCTGCTCGGTTGTTCCCTTTAGCATAAGAAAGACGAATCTTCATCATTCCCTGTATTCACGGTGCGTGTGTCGGGTCCATCGTTGTAGTGAGAGAAGCTTCAACAGTGACTGGGACTTGTGACCAAGGTGTAGGTTTAATATAAATAGAGAGACGAAACCTCTCATCATTCAATGTACTCACGGTGCGTGTGTCGGGTCCATCGTTGTAGTGAGAGGAGCTTCAACAGTGACTGGGACTTGTGACCAAGGTGTAGGTTTAATATATATAGAGAGACGAAACCTCTCATCATTCAATGTATTCACGGTGCGTGTGTCGGGTCCATCGTTGTAGTGAGAGGAGCTTCAACAGTGACTGGGACTTGTGACCAAGGTGTAGGTTTAATATATATAGAGAGACGAAACCTCTCATCATTCAATGTATTCACGGTGCGTGTGTCGGGTCCATCGTTGTAGTGAGAGGAGCTTCAACAGTGACTGGGACTTGTGACCGAGGTGTAGGTTTAGGGCGCGTTATAACGCGCGATATACAGTATTACGTAGTATTGAATGAGAAACGTGAAACGATACGTATGCAGTAACGTGTAACTTGTGGTAAGCATAATGCTGATCTACTCTCGTTGAAGATTGAATAAGTAATGATATCTAAGATATTTGCCTGTATTTAAACTAAACTGAGTTTCGGATAATATTCGTTTTTAATTATTTTATATATACACTAGCTTTCCGCCCGCAGCTTCGCTCGCGTGGAGTTCGGTTACATCGTGTTTCCAAGAGAACCTTTCAAAAGTCTAGGATGAAAAATTTCCTACGTTCTTTCTCAAGGTCAACTCTATCTTTGTATCAAATTTCATTAAAATAAGTTCAGTGGTTTAGGTGTGAAAACGTAACAGACAGAGTTACTTTTGCTTATAAAATTAGTAGGGATGATCCCGACGTTTCGGTTACTAGTCGGCAAATTAATTCATTGATTTTCAAAGAGATCGCAGTATTATAAGATTTTAATTCAATCGATCAACTGATCGACCAACTGATCGACCAACTGATCGTCCAACTGATCGTCCAACTGATCGACCAACTGATCGTCCCACTGATCGACCAACTGATCGACCAACTGATCGTCCAACTGATCGTCCAACTGATCGTCCAACTGATCGACCAACTGATTGTCCAACTGATCGACCAACTGATCGTCCAACTGATCGTCCAACTGGTCGACCAACTAATCGACCAACTGATCGACCAACTGATCGACCAACTGATCGACCAACTGATCGACCAACTGATCGACCAACTGATCGACCAACTGATCGTCCAACTGGTCGACCAACTGATCGACCAACTGATCGACCAACTGATCGACCAACTGATCGACCAACTGGTCGACCAACTGATCGTCCAACTGGTCGACCAACTGATCGTCCAACTGGTCGACCAACTGATCGTCCAACTGATCGTCCAACTTGCTTATATCTTAAAACAAACAGGGTCTAACTTGTACTAAGAATATAGAAAATCTTTGGATAAAAAATGTATTTACTGGCTGACCTTTGTGGATGCAACATCTACGCGTGATAATTAATTGTTAAGAAAAAATGTTGGTTAAATGAAGCCATAATATATATATACATATTACAAATTACTTAATATATAATATTATTATTTATTTATATGAAATTGGCCAAGAATTTGCTTCTCTACTTTAATCAAATGAACAGATGTTTTGAAGGTGTAATGCTTTTGGCTTCTGTAAATTTTTGTTGTACTTACCTTTTTTGAATAAGTAGAAAAATATCATATCATAGGCGGCATATACTTATATTATATACTTGAGGACGTGATATTTGACGATCATATATGACAAAATAAAAATTAATATAACATAAATATTAATAAACTTCTAAGTAAAGTTAACCAAAAGTTGTTTAATTAATTACGCATCGTGTGAACACCCTACAGATTATGTATACACACACTCACACATACGCGTGCGATGGCGTGGTGTTGTATCAGCACGCCGCCGCACGCGTCCACACTTGGAACACTTGGAATGTGTACACACTTTATTTATTTATACGGAAATTTTGTCAAAAATTAAGTGCCTATTTTTTTTACATAATTCGAATGAGAATCATGTACCGAGTATGCTCCTTAAATATTGATAGTAATTCACCAGTCACCCTGTATATATATACATACATATGGTATTTCAAAGTTTTTTATTTCAGAATCCTCTCACTAATACATGAAACGTAAGAATTAGTTATTTATGATACGAGTATTTAACTCAAATATATTTTTAATTACACAAATTATATAATTACTAGATTTTTAATGTTTCCCAAGACTCATTATTTGATCAGCCGTTCTCAGGGGTTCGCGAAAATGTTATTTTTATGCGACCTATATGGAAATGTTGCTCCCTTACCGAACTTGGATATCGATGGTGTAAAACTTGTACAGATTAAGTTTACAGAAAAAACATTATTTGTATGGGTTTTAGCATATTATTTTAATGTATAGAATTGAGGGTATTTTGATACCTTTGTATATGTAACACAATTTTTATTAAACATACTAGCTTTTAAATCCGAAAACGGTAAGCAACACGCAACAGTAACATCCAAATAAAACGAAATACTTCAGACAGAAAAGGACAATTAAAAAGATCTTTTACACGAGACAATAACCTTCATTCATTAGCGACTTAACAACAGAACTGTCGATTAAATGAAAAATATCTTATGAAAAGTTGAAAATTCTTATCATATTTTCCCAGCAATCTCTTTCACAGAGGTTTATCGGTAGCTCACTAATCGTGTGTTTCAAATAAGAAGTCTAATTTTCGTGTACGTCGCGTTCGGTCCGCTGAACCGAATAAAGTAATGCCTGGATTGTTGTAAGCATCTTGGCTGTGAATACACGAAATGAAACATGGTCCTTATTAGTATATTCAATCGAGTGGTCGTGAATGGTATCATTTTGGACGTAATTTAGATTTAAAGCCGCCTCAACTTCATATATCCCTTAGATCCGTTCACTTTCCGCGCCGTTAGTTTGAGTTCCTTGGTCATCTGGACGGCACTGATCGCATTGTATTTGGGTCACTGTCCCGTACCCGGATCACGTCCGTCCATTTGTTCCGATGTATCGCTTGACTGTTGCGCGCACCTGGTTTCGGTTATTGCCTACGTTCTTATTTAGGGTGCATAATATTTGTCTTGAGCTTACGCGCTTCAATCGTACGTGATTTCGGTTTATCTTCAGGGATATAAAACTGTTTGTTTGTGCTAGGCTCTGCTATTGATTTTGGATGTACAGCTGCTATAAAGAAAAACGATTCTTTAGTTCAAATAGAATAATTTTAACCTTTTCTAACTTCATATACAATACCTATGATTTCCAAACGTCATGTGTTTTCATTTAATAAGTACGAAACTAAAGAGAATAGCTCAATAATGTAATATATCTTGTAAAAGTCAATACTCTGGTAGCAGACCAATCTTCATCGTGATGGATAGGTGCAGTCGAGTCGGCCGTTCTTGACAGATACAATATTTTACATTCTCCTTTCGCCTCTCAACTCCCTGTTCACATTCAATATGATTTATATGAAGTTTCGATTGATACGTCCCGGGCTTAGACACGTTGCGTTATGTTTTATGCATCATTCATGTACACCTGTTTATAATAAATGTACCTATTCAGACAAACAATTGCGCGTATAAAAATTAAGCAATTTGAATGTTTAAAATTGTTTACTTTTCTATTGTTTCCTGCGGCTTAATGAATGATGAAAGTAATTAAAAAAATCGCAAGTCGTTAGAGGCATGATCCGTGTTGCATTCTAAACGAGTCTTCGCCGCGCAATGAAGACGTTATTGGCTCTACGTCATGAATGTTAATATCATCGAATTACTTCACTGTGAACTCGCTCTTTTTACTTTAAACTACAGGATGATTTATTATATTTATTTAAACTCATTTTATTTTATTAATATCTATATAAATAGCTTAATTAAAGATTCGTGTCTTTTAAGTTTAATACCTATTTGGAATAATATTTAAATGTAAAAACTTTTAATATAAATATTGTATACACAATGTTTCAACTCGTACTGCCGATAGTAATTATCTTTAAATCCCTAAATCGTCCCCAATCCCGTCTTCACAAATCACATCCAGCGCTGAACGGATACAGATAAATAGTCAGCAACGTCATTTAACTTTTATCTAAAAGGCAGTAAAAGCCCGATAAGAGGTAAAGCCTCTCTACATTGAAATTATTCTGACAAACGCAGCTGCGGCATTCGTAGCGAAAAACGAATGAGACTTTCAAATGGAAACATACTTTTCTACGTTAATCTCGAAATGTCCCCGGAACAAGGTCGACGAAACGCCTTACAAGTATCTGTTCGAGGAAAAAGAGAATACAAGGATATAAACATTTTAGAAGTCACTGCTTTCACTTGAATAATTACTTTACTTTCAGCATAAAAATAACTCCGTTTTTTGCCTTTCATCGTACCTCATCAAAACTACTTCGTTCCGCAACAAATGAAACGAATATATTTAATAATCCTCTTTATTTCATTATTCTACAAATAAATTTAAAAACTCAAAGTCGTTATCACTATTAAAAGAAGGGATTGTTTAAATTGTCATAAAAAAACGAGAGTTTTCGTGCTGGTTTGTATATTAGGAATAAGAATCATGAACCGTATCCAAATTCTTTACATCTTCGATAAGATATAGATGACACGGAGGGGACAAAATTTGCATAATGTAATCAGTGGAACCGATGATTTGAGTCACTTGGACCGGCTTGTTACAGCCCAAATCAGGGGTTTTTAATTTTGTTAAAAACCTCTATAGATATCGCCATCCTTGGAGACCATCGATTGATCTTTGTACAGCGGAGAGGTTTTTTAATCTTTGTTCAAGACCATTTTTATAATAAGAAAAGATCGAAGATTTCTTTTAAGTCCCTCACAATAAAGGGGAATGCAGTTTATTGAAAGTATCCTATTATATAGAATAACATTTTTCTCATTAGAATTCATTTCCACATGGACGTTATTAGATGCAGGTTTTTCTAACGAGATCCTCTTTGTGTTCGTGCAATGAAAGAAATATATAATACCAGGTGTTTCCCACCTTGACTTGCTTGTATATTTCGAGCACTTTAATATTACTGTCCTTTTCCAAATGGCCACTAAAACAGCGGTTTATGAACTCATATAATTTGTATTAAAATAATCTTTTTGCATTTTATTTTATTTCATTATTTTTTATACAAATATTGATAAATTATTAAATATATTTTTACACAAAGATACTTAAATAAATCATTCTAAGAAGTTAACATCGATGCATAGAGTTTAAAGATATATTCGCCTATATATTTTTTTATATACATATGTTAAAGTTTATAGTTTAAATGTTTTTTTAGCGGTCGTACATCTAGTAACGTGTTGCTCGTTTTGTCTTGAGATATACTTTTGTTAGGAGGTCTTTATGTCTGTCCATGGTTCCGTTATTAAGCTTTAAAAATTGCGACAATGAATGTTTTTTGTCAAAACGTTTTGCTTGATGGAATTTTTAATTATTTTTCTTCGCAGCCAACCGTTGAGATGTTAAACGAATACCAATGCTTTTACGACATTTTGGAGGCTGAAGAACGTTTTTACTGCTTGACATTAAATATTTTATTATATCTTAATTAAAACATTATAATAAGAGCTAATAATATATTTAGTAACACATATTATTATAATGGATGTAGCAGAAGGTACTACAGGAATAATTCAAAATTTCGTTGTAAGTTGGAAGTTATAGCATGCTCTGTCACCGTTAATTACTCTAACAAACGCACCACGAAAATACTAGCTTGAAATTAGCGTGTTAGTACAACAGACAGACAGACAAACATAAATTAATTCTTTAAATTTATATACTTAATTTTTGAAACATGCCTTTTCTCTCTTCATTTAAATTAGTATTCTTTTGAACGGTTTTAAATTGATTATTATAAATATAGTTTCTTTTCTATAAAATAAAAATACGAAAAATATAGGAGATAAAGAATTAAATAAACAGATACAATCTAAAGATGTCGGAATGAACATTAATTTTCACAATTATATCATTGTTAGTGAACTCATGGAAAGTTTAAGTTAGCCGAAACAAACTGCTTGTGTCGCTGTAATGAATTAAAATAGTGTCCCGGGATATTAATTATACTGGGGCACGACAAATGCGGTTCAGAATAAGGGAAAGTAGGCCAGGAATTTAAGAATGGGATTAAATATATCTTAAGACGACGTTATCTTTCGGATTCACTTCATTTATATCAAAGAATTCTTCTATATTCATTTTTTTATAAACAATAAATATTCATTCTTTATTTTCCTATTAAATTATTTAATAATTTTATACTACATATATGAATCGTCATCAGCC